TATAATAACCTGTATAACGTGTGTATAATAACCTGTATAACGTGTGTGTAATTAACATGTGTGTAATAACCTGTATAAATAAAGGTTGAATGAAAAAATAATCAATTGTAGATCTATGATCAATGATTATTAACTGAAAGTTTCACTGAAATTTAAATTAAACTTTAAATAAAGCACTCAGAATATGTGTTGGGGATGACTCTCAGCTACTACCACACTCGGTTTTAGCACAATATCTGTAGGTACAGGCTACAGCCATCTTTGTGTATTTCGAGGTCAGTTTGCTGTGGCAGCCATCTTGAACTGAGATGACTCCAAAAGTTATCTGTTTGTAATGTTTTTCTTTCTGCTAGTTTCATAAATGTTTTTCTATGGTTCAGGAGATATTTTGGTAACAGAAACACATAAAGGAAAAAAAAAACCTTCCATAAATCTTAACCTTCCATAAACCTTCCATAAACCTTTTGTGGCAGGCAATAAAAAATGACGCAGCACTCAGAACATATTTACATGTCAAGATGATTTATTATAGATTTATTGGTTGTTTCTGTGTTTCCCACAGAACCTGTACAAAATCCCACAAAGGTGCATAAACTTTTTTTAAATTTAAATACAAAAAAATACCACCAGGACATTGTTAGTTATCCAACATTCATTTGTGATAGTCTTTATGAGAAATAATGGTGACAATAAAATCAAATAAACATTCCAGAGCCCACTTCAGACACTGTGTAAAATCAAGGACATCAGCAAAAAATGAAAATAAAAACAGATAACACACATGAAAATGAAAGTTATTTCCAATTTTCTCTAAGAGTATTATCAATCTTCTGTATTTCAGCTTTTTAATTAAATACTTTAGTTTTCCCTGATTAGTATTGACTTTTCCCTGCGTTTATCTTGGTTGTCTCGTTGCTCCTTCATCGTTTGGATTTAATCATATTCACATATGTAGGAATTTATGTTCCTTTTAGAATAACTCAGAATCATTAAGGAATACAAACATGGAAATACAGAGGAAATTAAATATAGGTCAACAGAAATATATGGAAACCAATTATCCATTTTAAAGCTGTGCCTGAAGTGGTCTTTTATTATGCCTTTTTGACACCAAGTAAAACTTCAAGCACCAATAAAAACAGGAGAAGAAAGGAGTAAAAAGGTGCTGTAGTGTTGCTTAAAAAATATATATTTTTAATCACAGTTTCTCTGCCATTTTCCCCTCAAACTAAATACTCCATTGATATAAAATAAACAGGGAAAACATTCACAAACAGATTTCCAGTCAGTTCTTCAGCAGGTAACAATAAAACATTCAAAACAAACATGAAAAATATGTTCGTTCTTAATCCAGTGTTAGAAATTTTAAATCCCATTTTCCCAAGAAACAAAAGATTTTACACACTTTGACCATGTGCAGGAATTTTCTTCAGGCACTGACTAAGACGCCTCTGTAACATAAGCTAAAAAGCAGGTGAGGAAATTAAATTTATAACTCGCCTTCACACGTTACATCCACAGCCTAGGACTCACAATGTCTGCGTTTTGAGTGTTTACAGCAGCTCTGCCTCATCCTCGTCATCTTCAGACCCTGATGGCCCCTGGCGGACCTCCTCGTACCACTTATTGGTCAGGGTCTTCATCTGGATCCGGCCGTGTAACAAGTCCTGTGAAACACACCAGCAGGCTTGTAATGATGCATATCGTTATAAGCATATAAACATAAAGAGGAGTGGAACAGGAAAAAACTTCTAAAAACACTTCTAATGTTTTACACTTTATTTTCTTTAAGGTCTTACCAAGTCTGAACGTTCTTAAAGCATTTTTATCATGATGCACTGCTACTTATGCTATAATAAGAATTATTCCTCAGCCAAAGCAAGTGATAACTAGAGAAACTGCATTTTCTGCTAAAATGCAGTGTGAATGCTTATTGCTGAAGAAATTGCTAAAAAAAAACAGCTGAAATGAACCCCAAAAACCGCTACTATGAACACAAAAAACAGCTAAAGTGAACACAAAAACATGCTGAAATGTAGCTGAAATGGAAGAAAAAGCCTAGATTGGCAGAAGAAAGCAGAAAAACATATTTGCTGAGTTAGTTTTAAATAAGCACAAAAAATAGTAAATTAGCTAAAAATAAAAGCTGAAATTAGCAAAACAGCTGAAAAGTAGCTGGAAAGGCAGAAAGAAGCTTAAAATACCAGAAGGAAGTGGAAGGAGCTGAAATACGCTGCAAAATATGGAATTTGCTGAAAAAGCTCAAATGAGCACAAAATAGCTAAATAGTAGATGCAATAGCAGAAAAAAAGCTGAAACTAGCAGAAATAAGCAGAAAGGAGCATAACAAGCTGAAATTAGCAGAACGAAGTTAATTAGGTTCAAAGTAGCAAAAATTACAATGAAAAACTTGAATTTATCTGAAAACAGCTGAAATTAGCTAAAAAATGCTAAGTTCTCTGAAAAGGTAGAACAAGCTTAAATTAGCAGAAGAAAGCGGAAAAACACATTTGCTGAAAGAAGCAGAAATGAGCACAAAAAAAATGGAAATTATCTGGAAAAAAAATGGAATAGGCACACAAAAAAAATCAGCTGAAAAGTAGCCAAAAAGTAGAACGAATATGAAATTACAAGGAGGGAGAACACATATTTGCTGAATTTGGCTGAAAATAGTTAAATGAGTGCAAAAAATGTGGAATTAGCTGATAAAGCAAAATAGTAGCTGAAATAGCAGAAAAAGCTGAAGCTAGCAGAAATAAGCTGAAAGGAGCAGAACGAGCTGCACACAAATGTTGTAGTTGGCAGAAAGAGCCTGAAATGAGCACAAAACAGCTGAAAGTAGCTGAAAAAAGTTTAAATTTACACAAGGAAGCTGAAAGAAGCTGAACAAGAACAAAATGTGAAAGGAGCAGTAAAAGGTGTAAACAGATCAAAAGATTTGAAGGATGTAAAATGAGCTCAGTTCATTTTCTATGAGGAAAAATGGCTGAAAAGGCTAAATATTTCAAAAAGCTAAAGTTGCACCAATACCAAAAGTCACTGCAGGATTTCTCTGAAAGAGCTGAACGTTGTGATGTTGAAATAGGACAAAAATTGTGTAACGAAAAAGATACCGAAAAACGTACAGAAGAAAACTGGATCACAATAGTGTGAACGCTTCATAAACCTTCACACTATTAAGCTAAAACAGGATCAATAGTGTCCAGTTCTGCAAAATGTCTTTAATCTCCGGTTTAGAGATGGATTCTGAAGATTCTGTCATACAAAATACAACACTTCAAAGTGTTTATTGCTTTTTTTTTATAAAACAAACTCAAAATAATACGAATAAAAATCTGTTTGTAGGGTGTCTGTTTGTAATGACGTCAAAAAGACAGTGACAGAAATTCAATGAACTTCTGAATATGAGATTGTGGGTGTTTGCAGAAAAACTGCAAACTCATTTAAATAAAGAACAAGAAGAATGAATAGTAGGCTAATGGAGAACAAACTACAAATATGTAACAAAAACTGCGGTGGATTTTCCTACACAAACAGGTGAAATAAAAGATGCCTTCAAAAATGGTCTTTGATTTTGTTTATTATAATAAACAGTCACGTCACACAGGATGCTTCACACAGCCTGCGGAGGACGTGTGTATGACAAAAAGTCAAAACCAGTTAAGAGTTGAGAACATTGCAAGAGTGTGTGAAGGGTTTATAAAGCCTTAAAATATGTATATAAATACTAAAATAAATATAGCGTTCTTACTTCACAGTTTTTCACCTATCGTGGGGTGTTTGGAACCTAACCCCCACGATAACTGAGGTACTACTGTGTAATTAAAGTAAGATACAAAGTTCTTTGTGACAACTGTGTTGGACAATATATGGTCCAAGAAATTATTATAATATGTGTCATTCTGCCACTCTCTGATGCCACTGAGATGATTGTGATGTTATTGTCTAATAATTTAATATGTTTGACTTAAAAAAAAGGAGAAATATGTTCACAAACACTGAAATGGTATTTTGAGGTGTGAATATGTGAAGAATTCCAAGTTCATATAATTATTCACACAAAGCCAAGTTGAACTTTTAACTTCTGTTAAGAAATGACTAACATTTGGCACAAGGTCACAAAGAGGAAATATTGTTTTAAATGGTCATAAACTTTCATTATGGCTGTGCAGTAGTTAGGGTACTTATTAACCAAAGCTTTAAAATTACTACTTTTTTTTTTTTTAACTGATGTATTTTAGTTGCACAAAACACCACCAGGTAGAGTAGTGGGCAGCTATTGAAGGTGCCTGAGGAGCAACTGGGGATGAGGTGTCCTGCGCAGAGACACCACGAGATGTGCAATGACTGGGGAACGAGCCCAGGACCTTGGGTCCTGAGTCGGCTGCCCTGCCTCTACACCATCTCGGCCCCATCTTAAGACTCTCTCCATCATTTTGACAAGCAGTCTGTATGTCCAATAAAAGAACACTGCAGAAAATATTATTAGAGCTCAATCAGTGTATCGGTAGAATCAATAATTTAGGCCGATATAGACGTTTGGGGACCAGTATCTATGATAATTGTCCCATTATGCGCCGATAAACACTTCTAATTTTCACCTCTAAAATGCTGAGAACCAACCGTAACTGCACAAAGTAGCCAGCAGATGACGCAAGAAGACTACTTTCAAGTCATTACTATTCACTTTAAGTTTCACTTTCAGCACAGATGAAGCAGGGAGCAATACTGTGTAGTGTATTTTGCTGAACAGAGCATGGTAAGTTTACTTTAACTGATCTGTAAAATAAATCAACAATAATAAATTCTCTTCAATCCTCCAACCTGTTTGTCATTAGCTACGTGCTTCTCAAGTTAGCAAGCTAACATTAGTGTTCAGATGCACCACCTTCACGACTTTAGCCCCGTTGTCAGTAGTTATTGCAACAGTCCTGTTGGATTGAGCTTCCAGCTTGTGAGGACATCCAGTAACGCTATCTTTATCGTCCTCAATGAATTGTATTGTTTGTCTGAAATATTTACTTCTCTACAAAGCAAAAAAAAAAAACCTGCTGCTGCCGTCAATTAGTCCTTCTCCGTAAGTGAATGACTGTTTAAATAATGAACAGGGAAGGATGTTTCTTTGCTTAATTTATATTTATGTAACACACTTGATAACTTTATGGTGAATAGTGGAAGATGGAAAATGTGAACACATGTTAGGAAGACTGTTTTTATGAGCAGTGCACCTTTTGTAAACCTAATGTGGGAATAGGTATAGTGTGGATCTGATGTGCTTAGCTTCATGGTTGCTAACAGCTGTGCTAAATAAACAAACCCTGCTCCACTTACTGATTACTTAGATTCTTGAGGGTGGCAAAGCAAAAAAACATTCAGCCATTGTATCACGATGGTCGCCTTCCCCTCTCAATGTTTGGCAATAGCCAAAATTTCCATGTCGGTCGAGCTCGAAAAATTATAATAACTCTAAAATGTTTGATTATCCAAACAGAAATGAATTCTAATGAGTCTAATGAGCCTAATTGACACTTTTTAGAAAAGCTGCTTTGCTGTCATGTTACTCTAAAACCTCAGCAGTCCGATAATAATCTGGATTATTACAGCGTATCTTGACAGCCTTGCCAAAAACATACATAAGAGTAATATATAAGAGTGTATATAAGAGAAGTATGAGTGGAAACAATAAAATATGCTTTATAAATAATGATATATAGTTCATGTAAAGCAGCGTCTGACAAAGACAGAAGCATTTCTCCCTCCTTGTCTCTCACCTCTTGGGTAAGTCTGCGGGTGAAGAAGGGGTTTAGATACTTAGCATCGAGCCACATGAAGCCCTTCAGATCTTGTCTCTGGTAGATGTGAGCCTCATACTCCTCCTCTGTCAGCTCTGAAAGGTGCTCTGACTCGATGGTGTTACCCTGCAGAGAAAAGATCAGGAGAGAGAAGGGAAAAGTCAGACAAATGCAACAAAATGAATAGAAACAGTTGAAAATAAAAAGCTGCTGGGGAGGGGAGAAGGTGTAAATGCAGATAAAAGCTACAATGATAAAGATGGTATGGAATTAGGATCACACAAGAAGATGGAGTAAAGGGAGCAAACAGACAGATATACTGTAAAGAGGATGGAAACACCAGGAAAAGTAAGGGATTGATAGTTTCCTGTACCTTAAGGGGGAGGTCGGGGGGGTTAGCTTTGTAAGACATCAGAGATTTAAGCACTGTAGAATAAACCAAGGTCCCACTGATGCCAATGATGGGTGACAATAATAAAAGCTCGTCATCTAACAGTAAATCTAGCAGAATTAAGTGAAATATTAAAGACGATTACTTCTCTCTTAGTATCTGGGAAAATGTATTGAGAGCGGCAGCTGCTAACGAGTGCATCTGTGCAGGGAGAGTGCTTTGCTCTGCGCTGACTCAGCGTCCTCCTCCCAAACCACAATCAAGCCTTTGATGTTTGTCTCTAAAGAGAACAGAGGCTGACGGCAGATGAGAGGACAGCACGGCTATCATCGCAGACAAAGCAGCAGTTCAAGTTCAAGCAGTTTGGACTGTCATTTCATCTCTATTAAAATGTATTAAAATAAAAGTGTTTCTCTCATTCAGGTAAGTTCAAAAGAAAAGAAAAATGCTGCTCATGAAAGTGAGAATTGAGCAGTGTTTGTGTGTTACACCAGAAGGCTTAACTCTACCATTTTCTGGGTCTTGCTGAGATTAATGTCCTTCTTGTTCTTACGCCTCGACTGGTTTTCCTCGATGTCCATGATACGGATAAGAGGCATGGTTCCTCCTCCGAGGAAGAGGATGGTGAAGAGCACAATGATGATAGTGGTGGTGCCAATGAGCTGACGCTTCTCAATGGGCTCCAGGCCCAAATGAAGGCTCAAAGCATATGGGATCGCACCGCGCAACCCTGACAATAAAAAAATAAATGGGAAAACAAAAGCAACACATATTTCAGCATGTTAACAAAAATTGACCTTTTCTTGCCCGTCAGTGAATGAGATAAAAACAACCGTTTGCCACTTTGTTTTTGGTGTTTAAGTCAATTATTTAGTTATTAGGAATTAGAAAGCAGGAGGATGTCGAACGTTAAGTGTTAACAACTAAAATCACAGTAGTTCATTTACATGGGTGCACAATGATTTATTATTATTTCAAAATAAATTATGTTAGTAATGAAGTCATTTCTAGAATGTTCTAGAATTGCGCCGCTCAAGGTGGCTGCATGATTGGAGCAGCTCTGTTACTTTCATTCTGAGATTTTGCTTTTGGAAACTTCAATTCCTCTTTTTCTGGATGTAAATCACATTTTTTGGATGACTGTTTCCTCTGGTATCTGATGCTGTGCGGCTGGAAGGATTTTTACTGAAACTTTTTTAGTTTTGGACATTTGTTATGATGCGTAACCATGGCAACAAGGCAGTTTTCTACAACCAACAGCAGCTGATTAACATCTCAAAAGCTCAAATAATATCTCAGCTACAGTCCCAAATCTCAAATGAGTTGAAAGGGATGCTCTGTGGACACGTTCTCGTCTACCTGCCGGCTGTGCTCGGGTGCCTGACCACTGAGATCCTGGAACTAGCAGGAAACACGGCTCATGACAGCAGAAGGACAGGATCGTCACTCAGCACCTACAGTTAGCTGTCCACAGCGACGAGGAGCTCGTCAGACTGCTGGGAGGAGTGGTCATGGCTCTGGGAGGAGTTCTGCCCAGCATTCGGGCAGTCCTACAGCCCATTGGAACCGAGAGGCCAGCCGAGTCTGGGTGGACGGATCGGACGGCATCTGCAGCCAGTTTCTTAGGATCCACTGTGGGATGAACCTTTACAAGAGATCCTTCCTGCCTACAGCCATCAGCATCTACAACATATCTTAATGAAATGAGGATAACGAGTTACAACAACAAATAATTTCCCTCTGGGATTAATAAAGTATTTTTGAATTTGAATTTGAATTTGAACTTTAAATCTAAAAGAGAAAAAAAAAAACTACAGATTTTTTTTTGTTTTTTATGAGCAATTTTGAAAGGTATTTATTTAGTTTTTTTCTTTTTGTAGTTACTGCCTTGTAAATGGATGGAGATAATTTTATCCAGCAAACATGCAGCACTTTTACACAATGTTGCCAATAAACACATGTTAATACAACAAAGTCCATGCTCAATAATCCAGGTATACAATCCAACAATTTTCAGTCAGGTCATCTGGACAGTTTCTTTTTTTGTGCTGAAACGTTTCAGCACAAAAAAAGAAACTGTCCAGATGACCTGACTGAAAAATGTTGGGTATGTTAATACAGTATTGCAAAACATCTGATCCTATTCTAATACAGCTAGCAACAACTAATAACCAGGTATTGGGATGTTATTCATAGATATCTTGATTATTTTGGAGTATATTTGTGTTTTGAGCATTTCAACGGGACAGGCTTGCAATCGAAAAAGACTTTAAAATTATTTGTTAGTAAGTTTTGAAAGGTATTTCTACAGACGTAGCAACAATATTTAGATTTTTTGGGGGGTTAAAATAAAAAGTCAGTTTTGTTGTTTGTTACAATTTGACCAAAAGTCATCTTTAAGTTGATAAATACTTTAACCATTCTTAATGAGCTGGTCCAAGACTTTGAAAGAAACAGAACATTATATTTTATTTTACTTGTTTCTCAAAACAAACTAATGAGGTGTTTTTAGTATGCATTCTGAAGAGCTCAACCATTTCAAAACTAAAATATTAAAATAAATATCAATATTGAAGATTAAAGATCTAGCATTTCTTGAAGGCGGGTACATTGCTCCCCTACCTTTCGTGCCACAGATCACTTTAAAACGAGGAACAGAGTTGTAGCGGTTTTGGTCAAACATTGTAAACAACATCAGGCGTAATCTCACGTGATATTGTGAGATCCCACAAGATGTAATAATGCTCAGAGTATGTTTTGATGATCACTCTCAACTACTCCCACATAAAACCTTAGCTCAATAGCGGTACATCTGAGAGTAGAGTTGTATTCGGACTGAAAAAATCCGACCTGTACCGGCCTGTAGCCATTTTTTTCCGAATTCGATCAGATCCTATCAAGTTAGCTGTAATTACAGGCCTGAACCAAAAAAAAAAAAACAAAAAAAAAAAAGACATTGTTTTTATTAAACTTTTACTGCTGTTGTAAGCAAATAAGTTTGACAAGGTGTTTTAAAAACGTATTTCAAATAAAGGAAGCTATAGGATTTCTTGTTTCACCAAATGGATATTAACATACAAAACAAATAGCCTAAAAAAAAAAATCACCTCTAAAGATAGGCCATTATACAGATGAATAAAAATATTTTTAGAGCAAAATTATTATTTAGAACAAGACTATTTTAACTGAACGTGCTGCTCGCTTAGGCTTTTGTAGATGCTGCAACTTCCTTCACCGCAGATGACCGCACGGTGTGGATACGGGCGCAGCTGGTGATCAGTTGATTGATCCATCCATCATCTTTACCCACTTCTTCCTTTCCGGGTAGCCGGGGGGTAGCTGGTGCCGCTGGTGCCCATGTCCAGCCATCACTGTGTGAGAGGTTGGGTACACCCTGGACAGGATGCAAGTCCATTTCAACCAGCGGGTGAGCAGACGCGCACGGCTGGTGACAGGTGTCCATCTGAAGCTTAACGCAACTTTTTTTAACCTCTTTACACCGGCCACTCTGACCTGTCTCCTCCCCAACAAGTAGATTAACACTATTTTATATTGTGCATTCTTATTTAGATTGCTTTGTGCTGAATGACTCGTAAAACCACATCACAGAAGCCTGAGCCCACGTGCGCAATTATTGTGCAATGTGCCAGTCATCTCTTCCACAGTCTGATTAATTAAAGCACTCTTTCTCTTTCCTCATCTTCTCATCAGTGAACTTACTGCCTCCTCCTCTACAAGTAGATTAACACAATTTTATATTGTACATTCTTATTTAGTTTAATTTGTGCTGTATGATTCATAAAACTGCATCAAAGCCTGAGACCGGCCCGACCCGCACATTAAGCACATTGTTATGGCCCGGCCCAGTCCAAATCCAGGTCGGTCTGGGCCAGGCTCCAGGTTCGGGTTAGAAATGACAGCTTTATCTGACATTATCTATAAAGACACCCCTTCATTAGTAATGAGAGGTTGTAGGTTGAGTTGAGGTGACTCCAAAAGTTAATCAGCTCTTGATGTTGGATATTATTTTTATCTAGACTGGTCATATGGTTTTGATCTGCTCAGAGACGGGATTATAATGAAATTATGACCCGGTTCTGACTGGGTTAAACTGGGCCAGCAGCTCTAAGAGAGTCTCCCTGGGATTTCAATATCAGTCAAGGAATAGAGTTTAATGTGCTTGCCACATCATGTAGAAAGGCTTTTGAAGCACCGTCTCATATTTCCTAACACATTAGAACCACATAAGATCCATTGAGATCACACTTAGTCACGCCCCCTCATACACTGACAGGTTGAGCTCCCCTTCTGCGAAGGAGGAGTCCAGGACCCTATAAATGAGTAATGACACGGGACATCGGGGCTCTTCCGGGTCTGGGAACGCGTCACAGACCGGAGAGACCAGCGCTGTAAACTGTAACCTTTTCCTGCCTTGATTTTAATATAATTGATCAAACTTAATTGACGTTTCCTTGATTTATTGATAACGAGTTGCCACTTCTGAGGGAGATTCGAGCAGGGGGGGAAAGACGTGGGCTGGAGGGGGTTTCCGGGTCCGGTGACCCGCAGCCAGGTCCCGTCTTTAACATTGACATACATCCAATGATCGCTTTCTGAAAATTTCCATAAATTTCTATTAATCTGTCCAGGGGTTCACGAGTTATTTTAGTAACAGATTGAGTTGACTTCAATAAAAATATGGCAAACCTTTCAAAGTAGATCTCAATGGATCAGTTAGCTCTCTGAGTACGTTGGGGATGAGCTACCACCAAATTTTAGCTCAATATTTAAAGTTTTGGCTAAATTAGAGACGTTTCAGTTTGAGGCTGGTCTGAGCTCTGTGTGAGACAAACAGCTGAAACCTTTGATCACTTTTAAATTAAGAAAAAAGAAAAATATCTACAGTTTGAAAAGCTGAAATAAGAAAAATGTGTACCAGTAATTTTGCTCGGGTGGGGAAGTGAAAAAGGAGACAAAAGGATTTGGTTTACTAACCTTCACAACAGAGACGCTGATGCCTGAACATTTTGCTTAGGCAGCGACTTCAAACACTAACAGAAAATTGACTGTCCATCAGATTAAAGGGCTTTTGCGTCATCTTACCACTAAACCACATGATGAACATCATTTTGGGCGTGATCTTGTGGTCTCTGAAGAAATTCAGCAGGAACGACAACGGGAAGATGTTCACAGCTCGTCCAAGAAGAACCAGGACCTGCAGAGTGAACCGCAGCAGTCACATGCACGAAGCCCACGTGGATGAGCACGAGTTATTTCATTCACATTAGGCTGATGCTCACGTTTAAATAAAAAAGAACTCACAATGCACCAGATGACGAAGGAGATTTCAAAATTATGTGGGAAGCTGAAGATGGAGAGGCCGAGAAATGCAAACACACACGTCTCTGGAGGGAGGAGTAAAGAATCGTGTTAAATTTGCTGTATGAGGAAATGAGGAGGCTAAGTAGGAAATAACTCACCACACATAAAGGCTACAGTGCGCAGCGTCTGCTGCATGAGGATCTGAGTGATGGGAGAGAGGTTGTGATGTGTGTAGTGAGACATCACAATTCCAGCAAACAGGATAGACATGATTCCTGTTAGAAGAGAGAATAGGACGTCATAATAAACTCCTCTTTTGAAAAAGGGCCTCGTCACATGTGCACCCACCTGACAGTTTGATCCCTTCTGCCAGGCCATAAGGAAGATATGCAAAGATGATCATCATGCCAAACTCCAGTGATGGAGTCTTCCTCAAGTCAAAGTGTTTCAGAAACTAATCTGTGAGTTAAGGATCTCAAATCCAGGCCGGAAATACACACAAAGCTTCACACAAACACCCACGTTTCACTAAATGAGTCAGGATACAACAGCTGAGATGAGTCCAGTGAGGGTTCCCAGAGCGGCAGAACCGAAAAACATTTTGAGGAAATACCCCAGCGCTTGCATAAATGTCTCCCAGCCTGTTACCATGGAGCTGTCGGAGCGAGAGAAGAAACCCTCTGCTGTGCTGTAAAGCAAAAAAAAAAAAAAAAAAAACAAGGAAAGAAGTGATGAATATTGTAAAAGTTGCACATTCTTCTGTGTAACAGCCACATCTAACAATAGAGGGCAGAAAAACTCTACTGCTGAGAGGAGGGAAGCTACGTGTGTTTTATTGCTCTTGAGTGTTTTACACGCTTGTAATCTAAGCATCATGATGGCTGAACAGCAAAATCATCTCCTTTCACTGATCTGGAGCGGAGCATTACGCAACACAAGAAGCAGGTAACTATTTCAACCACGTTCATTTGCTCGTATTGGTGCATTTTAAGAACTAGTTTTAGTTTTTCTAGAACAATTTAAAAAACAGATTTACCAGTACATAAACACATTTGTAGTAACCAAACTCTCACAAAGCAGACGATGTTTTGAGGTTTTTTACAAGAGTGAAAAAAACATTCATTACATTTGAACTCATTTGATACAGCCGGATGTTTTAAAACTACTGATAATAAAAACTGTTTAAATATTATCCCTAATTAAAGCTTTAGTATTCCTTATTGCCTGCTGACTCTCATGCCAACATTTTAGAAAAAGATTACTTTCTGTTGAGAAATGACAGATGTAGTCGTTTGGGTCAGATCTCAAGAGTGAGGCATCATGTGATGCTGCAAGAAGCCACACACACACGCACAGAATGAGCTGTGAACGACTCTCAGCTACTACCACATGAATTTGAGCTCAATATCAGCAAAACTGTGTTAGACAGTTTTGTGTTTGCTATGGTTGAATAGTTGTGGCAGCCATCTTGAAATATAATCTATTAATGAGTTAAATTAGGACATCCGCAGCTTCTTTCTGAATGTTTTATGAAATTCCACCTGGTGGTTGATGAGATATTTTACTAACAGACACAGAAAGTTGACACCAAAAAGGTAATGGCAAACATTTATACAAAGCTCTTGCACAGAATCCGCATAGAATTAGAGTTGGGAATGTCTCTCAGCTAACACCTACACCAAGTTTCAGGTCAGTATTTGTAAAACTGAGTTTCAGCCATTTTTGTGTTTTTTTAAACAGTTGGTTGTGGCAGCCATCTTGAATTGAGCTGACTCCTAAAGTTAATCAGCTGTAGATAACATCCAATGGCGACATCAGAGTTCATGCTCAATAATCCAGGTAAAAAAAATCCAATAAAGTTAAGTCAGGTCCTCTGGATGGTTTCTCTTTTTTTGTTGTTGAAACGTTGTGTCCTTCATCCAAAGGACTTCATCAGTCTGAGGAGCCATAACAAACTCAGTCCTACAAGCAGCACACTCGCATAGTTCACTGATGAAGTCTTTTGGATGAAAAACGAAACCGTCCAGAGGACCTGACTCAACTTTGTTGGATGTTTTACATGGATTACTGAGCATGAACTTTAATGTTTTGAACCACTTAGGCTATGACTGCCTCAGAGGAGTCATAGCCAGAAACCATCGTATCACCATCACACTGGTTGACCCACTATGTGCAGTGTGCTACTTGTGGGACTGAGTTTGTTGTGGCTCCTTGGACAGATGAAGTCCTTTAGATGAAGAACGAAACATTTCAACAACAAACAAACAAACAAAAACATCCAGAGGACCTGATTTAACTTTGTTGGATCAAATGGTGACTTTCTGTAAAGTTCATTAAAATTTGTCAAGTGGTTGATGAAATATTTTGGTAACAGACACACTAACTAACACACACAGGCAAAAACATTATTGTCTGCCTTCTTCTTTCAATAGCAGGTGATAAATGCATTCAGAATTAACAGAATGGTTCACAATCTTACTGTAAAGCTTAATAACCAGAATCAAATAGAAATAATTGCTGTCTCTCTGGCATAAAAGACTGAGCTGAACTGTAAAGTACCTTTCTCAGAAAGTCACTTGACAAGGTGCTAACAACAAACAACCAGCCAAGCCTGTTCGGTCTATCTATTATTCATACTCTTATTTACTCCACAAGGATACACAGACACTTCAGATCACTTTACAGAATTAACTAACAGTGAGAGATAAACAGATACAAAGTCAGCACGAAGGCAAACGACAGGACTCCACCGGTGTTTTCACACAAACTGCAAAATGTCTGTTTCAGTGACCGTTTGTCGAAACCTGCGCAACAAGTTTTTCCTTTAGGATACGCTGACATACGGCAAACGGTTTTAAGGTTATGAACAGAAACTTCAAACATGTTTCAGCAAACTTTGAAATAGGTCGTCAAACATTAGTGGGAAGCTGAGTTCCTAAAATGTCCCAGCACATATCAAAGGTACAGCGTTCTTTATTTTTCCAGTTGTGCAGACCAACAGTCCAGGCTCATTGGAATTCTTGTGCAGAGCTCTCTGTCATACAAAACACTGAAACAACATGAAATCAATTAAATAAAAATCCGAACAAAGTGGTTTATACCTAAACTGTGCAGAAAGTACACACATCTGAACATTCCTACTACCAACTCTCAGGTTACTAGAGTTCTTTTAGGAGATGAGAATGTAGATGCACCAAGTACTACAGTGTTTTGCCAGGGTGTGTGATGATGACATTTTTCCATCCAAGATAACAGAAACCACTGCTTTGACTCGCCTCCACCCTTCCTGTCACAGTGTATTGCGTAATCTTCAAAAACACAGAGCGAACTTTAGCTCACCTGACTACAACCGGACCGATCTTTGAAACTGTGAGACGTTTCTGGTAATGTGTGCAAATTATGGTTTAACGAAGGTTAACTGGATTATGAATATTACTGTTATCTCATGAGGAAGCAGCTCGCTGTGTTATCTGCAGCACGTCAATCTGTCTAACCCCCAGCCGAGTCAGCACATGAAGGTGGCTTGATTCACGTGTGCAGCCCTCTACACTTGGTGGTGACCATAGTGACGATGTCTCAGGAGATCTGTCACATCTTCACGTGATTTGGTCCGTTGTTGCTTGGGAAGTTTAACTCTTCTCACCTTTCTAAGGCAAGCAAAACAAAACAACAGAACCACAATGCAGTTCGCAGAAGCAAGATGTCACCCCATCCAAAATGAATGAAAAGCACGAAGCCTGAAGCTCGTACGAGTCAATCCTACCAAGAGTTTGTCTACAAAGCATTTTATTTTGTGCCAGATAAGCACTTGTACTGTGATGGGTGTGATTAATTTTTGCACATCATCAATAAAAAAAAAATAAAAAATAAAAAAAGCACTCTAGCTCATGTGACTGTCAAGAAACTTTATCACTGTGATTAAAACAACAAACACTAGAAACAGTGTCCGGATAATCTGCACCTAAAAATGAACTTCGTTAGCTGGTGTCGAACCCTTGACGTATCACACGAGACATTCTCTTGCCACCAGAACTACCAGTATATCGCTCCCATCTTATCAGTTACAAGGACAAATACTTCTGCCTGTATGACTGGTAAAGTGAAAAGTTTTGACAGTGATGCTATGAACACCTTTGTGAAATGTTTTAACTGATGGTGTTTAGAGGAGTTACAAAAAAGAACAAAGAACTCTTGGGAAAAAAAAAAAAAGAATAAACTGGCTACATACAGGTCCTTCTCAAAAAATTAGCATATATAAAGGTCATTATTTTCCATAATGTAATGATAAAAATAAAACTTTCATATATTTCAGATTCATTGCACACCAACTGAAATATTTCAGGTCTTTAATTGTTTTAATACTGATGATTATGGCATACAGCTCATGAAAACCCAAAATGTCTGTCCCAAAAAATTAGCATATTTCATCCCACCAATGAAAGACAAGTGTTTTTAATACAAAAAACGCCAACCTTCAAATAACCATGTTCAGTTATGCACTCAATACTTGGTCGGGAATCCTTTTGCATGAATGACTGCTTCAATGCGGCGTGGCATGGAGGCAATCAGCCTGTGGCACTGCTGAGGTGTTATGGAGGCCCAGGATGCTTCGATAGTGGCCTTAAGCTCATCCAGAGTGTTGGGTCTTGTGTCTCTCAACTTTCTCTTCACAATATCCCACAGGTTCTCTATGGGGTTCAGGTCAGGAGAGTTGGCAGGCCAATTGAACACAGTAATACCATGGTCAGTAAACCATTTACCAGTGGTTTTGGCGCTGTGAGCAGGTGCCAGGTCGTGCTGAAAAATTAAATCTTCATCTCCATAAAGCTTTTCAGCAGATGGAAGGATGAAGTGCTCCAAAATCTCCTGATAGCTAGCTGCATTGACCTTGTGCTTGATAAAACACAGTGGACCAACACTAGCAGATGACATGACACCCCAGTGACTGTGGAAACTTGACACTGGACCTCAAGCAATGTGAATTCTGTGTCTCCTCTCTTCCTCCAGACTCTGGGACCTTGATTTCCAAAGGAAATGCAAAATTTACTGTAATCAGAGAACATAACTTTGGACCACTCAGCAGCAGTCCCAGGCGAGATGCTTCTGACACTGTTTCTGGTTCAAAAGTGGCTTGACCTGGGGAATGCGGCACCTGTAGCCCATTTCCTGCACACGCCTGTGCACGGTGGCTCTGGAAGTTTCTACTCCAGACTCAGTCCACTGCTTCCGCAGGTCCACCAAGGTCTGGAATCGCCCCTTCTCCACAATCCTCCTCAGGGTCCGGTCACCTCTTCTCGTTGTGCAGCATTTTCTGCCACACTTTTCCCTTCCCACAGACTTCCCACTGAGGTGCCTTGATACAGCACTCTGGGAACAGCCTATTCGTTCAGCAATTTCTTTCTGTGTCTTACCCTCTTGCTTGAGGGTGTCAATGATGGCCTTCTGGACAGCAGTCAGGTCGGCAGTCTTACCCATGATTGTGGTTTTGAGTAATGAACAAGGCTGAGAGTTTTTAAAAGCCTCAGGAATCTTTTGCAGGTGTTTAGAGTTACGTTGTTGATTCAGATGGTTAGGTTAATAGCTTGTTTAGAGAACCTTTTCATGATATGCTAATTTTTTGGGACAGGCATTTTGGGTTTTCATGAGCTGTATGCCATAATCATCAGTATTAAAACAATTAAAGACCTTAAATATTTCAGTTGGTGTGCAATGAATCTGAAATATATAAAAATTTCATTTTTATCATTACATTATGGAAAATAATGACCTTTATCACAATATGCTAATTTTTTGAGAAGGACCTGTAATGTTTGTCATTGAGAGCAAATGAAAAAACTCCACTGCTGCAGAAAATACTTTTGAACACAAACTCTGAAAGACTATGTTGGTTACCATGGAGACTTCTTTTAGACTTATTTTATCAAAGCATATCTAAAGCCCTATTTTGACAAGTTGTCCTTCTTGTGAAGAGGTGGGGTAGTTCTAATTTTACTCAATGTGGTCAAACCAAAAAGTCCTGCTTTTGTGATAAAATCTCAATACAAATACTGGCAATAAATAGAAATATGTCAATAATTTATTATATTAAATCTGTTGACTTCATTTAACTGAGCTAAGCAATGGGCTTATTTAAACCAGAGCAATGATTTTATTTTATATTTTTTTTATAATATTTCAGCAAAGTATCTGTACAGATAAATCTTTTTTTTTTCAAGCAAGTTGTAAGATATACAATTTTGAGTAAATGTTTTAGTTTATTTGCTTTAATTTTGATGTTGCTTTATTTTTTGTAGGGATGCATGATATTATTGGCATGGTATCGTATTGGCCGATATAGCGATAAAGTTAAATATCGGACATCGGTCATTCCAACAAAATAACTCACCGATATTAAAGGTGCTGTTTCATCTAAGTTTCTTCTAAGTCCAGTCATTATGACTGGACTTAGAAGTTCGACTGACTGGGTTAAATATATTATTTTAACATCACTACTTCTTTATTTTATCCCCATCCAAACAGACTTTGATAGGACAATTTCAGTCTGTTAATGTACCTTAGACTTGAAGATATGTAATAATATCTCAACAGCAGCGGTCCTGCCCATTTCATTCTGTCATAAATAGCTCTGTAAGCCGTCATCAGGGTGGGTAATGATGAAAGCCTGTTTCAACATCATGCATGGACTGATTATAATATAAATGTAGCAAGCCATGTGTCTTACTTGGTGAGGACAATGGAGACAGCGTCGTTGAGGATACTCTCCCCAAATACCAGCATGTTGAGGACTGGGTCCACGTTGAGAGCATTAAATATGGCGATAGTAGCTACAGGGTCCACAGCTGAGATTAGAGAGCCAAAAGCAAAGCTATAGTGTGGTAGAAGGAAGAGAGGAAAAAAAAGAACTTCACATAACAGCTTAACATTCATGCTTTTCTGGGCATAAAGAACTTTGAAAACATTAACACAGCCAATTGACATGCATCAAACATGTCTGTTGCAACCTGAGTGCATACCTAAACAAAGCAAGCAAATAATTTGTTTCTTTAAGAGGAAGTTCAATTGCTTAAGAAAACAAATACAGTTCCAAATTATTATGAAACAACAAGGTGAGGTTTAACTGTAATTACTGCAGCTAGTGGATTGGTAAAGAGTGCTGAGCAAACTAGAAATGCCAGAGATCTGTGTGGGCAGAGATATGTGCGTAGATGCAGGCCTGTTTTGGGACTTTCTGTAAAAATGTTGATAAGTTCTTTCTTAGGTCACATACCAAATTACACTTGTTCAAATATTCTGAGTAGACTGGAAATAAATAAAAAAAATCCTATGAGCAACCAGATGAACAGGATTGAAAATGTACCATTGTTGGGAAAGACACACATAAGAAAACAATTTCCTAGTCAAGACACCCGCCTTACTGAAGGATAACATTTAACAACTTAAAGGACCTCCTAAAAACACATGGGTGTGGAGCATTTTACTGTGTTTTTGAACACCACCGGTGGTTACCAGATTACCCAACTGTCTGGACCGTGTTAACAGAAAAAAAACTCCAGAGCTACAAAGGGTTTTACAGGAGACAGTCTGTCAGTTGGCAAAACCAAGAAGAAACACCTATTACCGTAATTTACAGACTATTGAGCGCACCTGAATATAAGCCACGCCCACTAAATTTAAAAAATAATAATTTTGCACATATATAGGCTGCACTTTTCTATAAGCCATGGGTTCCATGCTGTACAATGAGATATTTACACAGAAATATATATATATTTTTACTTAATTAAATACTTATCGGTAACATACACAAATAAATCCAGTAAACGTTTTTTCTGAACCGTGCCTGTAATACGGCTGGTTAAAAACAAAAATAAAAATAAAAATACTGTAGCCTACACTGATTGCTATCTTCATCTTCCTCCTGCACACTGCGCCCTTGAGCTTGTACTCAGCTCCATCACACAGTTGCCTTTCGTAACCCGTTGGTGATAGAGGATTTTTTTTTTTATGCTCCTCCACTGTCAGGATCCACTGGCAGACTTGAGTAAAAGTTACTCTTCGCATGCGGACAGTTTTGTTAAATTTCTTGCCGCCAGCCATCCAAGCCCCACCGAGCTCGGAGTGCCACATTAATGCACAATTCACACTTGTTTCGAGTGGCTGCAAATAATTTGTTGTGCCCCCCTCCCTGGGGGCACAATGGGGAAGAGAGGAGCGAAGTTTCACACTGTGACCTGTTTGGTAATTTAATTGGTCAGATTTTTTTAAACCTTTATTTACACTGGTAGTCTCATTGAGTCACGAGGACCCACCCCTCTAGAGAGATGTGGAATGGGCAGCTATGTGAGCACCTGGGTGTGATGAGGTGAAATGTTTTGGTGGCATGAAGCTTGTTAGCCAGTCAAAAAAACAAACCAAAAAAAGTCCATAAATTAGCCACAGCATTGTATAAGCTGCAGTGTTCAAAGCGTGTGAAAAAAGTAGCGGCTTATAGTCCGGAAATTACGGTAATCGTTTTTCTTAAATGTAAAATTCAAATCTCTTAACGAGATTTCTGTGAAAAAGTTATGGTCAATTATCGTTGTGCATGTCGTAAGTAACTCTTTGAAAAACCTCCGTTTGGAGAAAAAGTTATTAGATTGGCCTAATCAAAGCCAAAACCAAAGTGAATCATGGCAGTCTTAAAAATACTCCAATCTCAAAATATTAACAGTGGATCATGTGACTGCACTTGACAAAAGTTTTACATTACAGCCCAACCGATGCATCGGTAGGGGTCGATATTTTTGGCTCATTAAAGGCGTTTGGGGACATATGGTGATAATTGACCCATTGTGCACTGATATAAACACTTCTAATTTTCACCTCTAAAATTATGGGAACAAGCCATGTCCTTACTTGCAAAAGCCATAATTGTACAATGTTTCCAGCAGAGAGTGCAAGCAGACTACTTTCAAGTGATGGCCATGCACTTTACCTTTCACTTTCAGCACAGCTGAAGCAGGGAGCAACTAACTACTGTGTAGCGTATGTTGTTGAAAAGAGCACGGTAAGTTTATTTAAATTGATTTTAAAGTATATAAAAAAACCAGCAATAATTAATGATCTTCAATCCTCCAACCCACTTGTCATTAGCTATGCACCTCTCAAGTTAGCAAGCTAATGTTTAGCATAGGCTATTGCCTTGTAAAACTTTAGCCAAAACAATAAATCTAACATAGAGGTAAAATATATCAGTGTTAGTAACGTTATGTTTATTGTCCTCAATGAAATGCATTATTTGTCTGAAATCTTAACTTCTCTGCAATTAAAAAAAACTGCTGCGGTCAACACCAATTCACCATACGTGAATGACTGGTTGAACAATAAACAGGGAAGGGTGTTTCTTTGTTTAATTTATATTTTTGTAACACTTGATAATTTTATGGTAAATAGTGGAGGATAAAATGTGAACGCACGTTAGGAAGACGGTTTCAAGACTTCAGGCTTTAAAAAGGTTTAAAAGTAGCTGTCTACTTGATTCTTGGGGATGGACAAAGTTATGGACAAAACTCAGAAATGTTCAACCAGTATATCGGTCATCGGCATTAGCCTACCCCTCCCAATATCGGTATTGCAGATAGCCAAAATTTCCATATAAGTTAGGCTCTATTTTACATCACTGTTAATTTTGTGTTACATATTTATCCTAAATAAACTGAATTGAAGGGCAGCACGGTGGCGCAACTGGTAGAGCTGCTGCCTCTCAGCGAGCAGGTCCCTGGTTCAAACCCCGGTCCAGGGGCCTTTCTGGGTGGAGTTTGCATGTTCTCTCCGTGCATGCGTGGGTTTTCTCCAGGTACTCCAGTTTCCTCCCACAGTCCAAAAACATGCATGTTAGGCTGATTGGTAACTCTAAATTGTCCCTAGGTGTGAGTGAGAGAGTGAATGGTTGTTTGTCTCTTTTGTCTCTATGTGGCCCTGTGATGGACTTGCGACCCGTCCAGGGTGTACCCCGCCCCTCGCACAGTGATCGCTGGACATGGGCACCAGCGACCCCCCGTGACCCAAAATGGAATAAACGGGTAAAGATAATGGATGGATGGATGGATGGATGGAAACTGAATTGAATTGGTAGAAATATTCTAATATTCTTTATGGAAGTACCCCAGGGTGTGTCAGAAGTGCTCGAGCTAGCTGCTACTGTCTTAATTTATGCTTGCAAATATTTACGTAAATAATTGTATATGGCAAAATTTACAACAATGCGAGACGTCTTGAAAAAGTTACTGAACTACTATAAAATCCTGAAGGTTGGAGCTGTTCAGGACAGGAACCATCCATTTTGTTCCTGGCCCTACACTAACTACCTCATAGCTTGTCAACCAGGTCCAAATTAAATATTTCTCTAAACCAAGGTCATTCAAAAAGCTTTCTGCAACAGGTGAGATATTAATAGTTTAGAACCTTTCCATAGATCTCAACTCGAAAAGCTCTGCACAACCTTTTTAACGTAATTTGGAACAGGTTTTTTTCCACCTATCATTGGGGAAATCTAATTATATGGAAATGTCATTAAGTAGTATTTAAACCAGAAAACCAAGACTCACCTATCAGTCATAGTCATTTTATAGATCACATCAGCCTAAAAGAAAACAACAAAACACAGACTCACGATTGTGAAGAGCTGCATCAAGAAAATCAGACAATAAGAACATACATGGAGCAGAAACTATTCTGTATAGTGACAGTAATAACAATATGCGGACAATTATATATTTTTGCTAATATATTAGTAATATTTACTGCTTTAACATTTTGGTTCAAGAAAGCAAAAAGGCTAAATATTAATATATCTATAATATATAATAAAGTCTATTTCTCTGAATGCCATACTCACTGATTACAGGGATCCTTACCTGACCAAGAAAATAGATCCCTCCACCAACGATGAAAGCAGAGAAAGCAGTACCAATCACAGCAAATAGAGTGATGGAGCCAATGTTCTGGAAAAAGTTACCCTGAACACACATAAACATAGCCATGTCATGTTAAACAACACAAAGAATCACCTTAAAAGAATTAAACTGTCAAGTAGGGTGCAGTACAGGTTCATGGTATAGTTACTTTAAATTGTATATGTATGAGTACATTAACAACAAATAAAGGTTGAAAAAACTGAGACGAGTTTCTAATGCTTTTAAAATAGACCATTATTTGGAGTAAAAGTCTATTATTGATATTAGAAAACAATATTTTAGTACAATCTTGTTTTCTTTCTCTCTGTGTTATGGTAATTTTGATGCTTGCTGCTGTTCCAGTACATGTGTAAATCGTCAATATTTGCATGTTATAATATTGCTCTAAAAACCTTCAGTTTAAAACGTGCATATACAGTGCCTTGCAAAAGTATTCGGCCTCCTTGAACTTTTCAACCTTTTGCCACATTTCAAGTTTCAAACATAAAGATAAAAAAATTTAATTTTTTGTGAAGAATCAACAACAAGTGGGACACAATCGTGAAGTGGAATGAAATTTATTGGATGTGTCAAACTTTTTTAACAAATAAAAAACCGAAGTTTGTGCAATATTATTCAGCCCCTTTACTTTCAGTGCAGCAAACTCACTCCAGAAGTTCAGTGAGGATCTATGAATGATCCAATGTTGTCCCAAATGACTGATGATGATAAATAGAATCCACCTGTGTGTAATCAAGTCTCCGTATAAATGCACCTGCTCTGTGATAGTCTCAGGGTTCTGTTCAAAGTACAGAGACTATTATGAAGACCAAGGAACACACCAGGCAGGTCCAAGATACTGTTGTGGAGAAGTTTAAAGCCGGATTTGGATACAAAAAGATTTCCCAACCTTTAAACATCCCAAGGAGCACTGTGTAAGCAATCATATTGAAATGGAAGGAGTATCAGACCACTGCAAATCTACCAAGACCCGGCCGTCCCTCTAAACTTTCATCTCGAACAAGGAGAAGACGATCAGAGATGCAGCCAAGAGGCCCATGATCACTCTGGATGAACTGTAGAGATCTACAGCTGAGGTGGGAGAGTCTGTCCATAGGACAACAATCAGCCGTACACTGCACAAATCTGGCCTTTATGGAAGAGTGGCAAGAAGAAAGACATTTCTCAAAGATATCCATAAAAAGTGTTGTTTAAAGTTTCCCACCAGCACCTGGGAGACACCAAACATGTGAAAGAAGGTGCTCTGGTCAGATGAAACCAAAATCAAACTGTTTGGCCACAATACAAAACGATATGTTTGGCGTAAAAGCAACACAGCTCATCACCCTGAACACACCATCCCCACTGTCAAACATGTTGGTGGCAGCATCATGGTTTGGGCCTGCTTTTCTTCAGCAGGGACAGGGAAGATGGTCAGAATTGATGGGACGATGGATGGGGCCAAATACAGGACCATTCTGGAAGAAAACCTGTTTGAGTCTGCAATAGACCTGAGACTGGGACGAAGATTTATCTTCCAACAAGACAATGATCCAAAACATAAAGCCAAATCTACAATGGAATGGTTCACAAATAAACATATCCAGGTGTTGGAATGGCCAAGTCAAAGTCCAGACCTGAATCCAATCGAGAATCTGTGGAAAGAGCTGAAGACTGCTGTTCACAAACGCTCTCCATCCAACCTCACTGAGCTCGAGCTGTTTTGCAAAGAAGAATGGGCAAGAACTTCAGTGTCTCCATGTGCAAAACTGATAGAGACATACCCCAAGAGACTTGCAGCTGGAACTGCAGCAAAAGGCAACGCTACAAAGTATTAACGCAAGGGGGCCGAATAATATTGCACACCCCACTTTTCAGTTTTTATTTGTTAAAAAAGTTTGACACCTCCAATAAATTTCATTCCACTTCACGATTGTGTCCCACTTGTTGTTGATTCTTCACAAAAAAAAAAAATTATATCTTTATGTTTGAAGCCTGAAATGTGGCAAAAGGTTGAAAAGTTCAAGGGGGCCGAATACTTTCGCAAGGTACTGTAGTTGTCAACTGAAGGTCATGAGAGTGTAAAAACCTGTTTTAATCATAAACTAGTTCATACCTTGTGTAAAGAGTATCCCGACTCAAAGATGATGGGTGGCAGAAGCAAAAGGAAGAACATGTTGGGTCGGAACATTTCCTCCTCCTTTAAGAAAAGAACACAGAAAAAGTGCCTGCTCATTTCAGTATAATATAATCTGCAGTAGACAGGTGACAGACTCTAAAATAAGTTGGACTGGCCAAAAGTGACAAACTGTTGAGTTTCTATAAATATGTTCACTATTATGAATCTAGAATCATGCTGCAGGATAAACTCCATTTGAAGAGATAAAGTAATAATAAAAAAGACTATTCGGTGCAGAGTAGACGAGTAAGCTGTTGACAAAACTGACTCCAGGATGACCACATACACAGCCGTCAGGCGCTACCAGGGGACATACCTGCCTGCCGACTAATCCACCCATTCACACAGGCGTTCAAACCATGTTACTAATGTGTGCTGTAAGCGGAAATTTCCAACAAAAAATTCTTTTTACCTCTGCCCTTCTTTTATCTGTAAACACACAGAAGCCCAGTGACCTCATCTGTGATTATTTCAGCAACATAATGAAATCATTGCTTGTCAGTAAAATGGGTTTGCCTCCCAAATAAGGTATTGACATCCAATGTCCATGTGTCTCTTTGCATGATTCACCAAATAAATAAATAAAAATCGACGTTCTCGCTCTTTGTATTATGAAACTCAGTTTTGACAGCTGGGAGACCCCCATCAAGCAGACTAACAACTAGGGATGACAACACTACAGCCACTTTTCCTTCAAAGCCCTGAAGCAGCTCATCAACAGCAAAAGTCCAGCTAAAAATCAGGACCTTAACAACTTCCTTTGTTTCACATAGTTTTATTCAAACATTCTCTAACAACTGATATGATATTTACCTAAATTTGAGATTGACAACTACTTTCAGAGTCTTTTAAATATCTATGTTTTGCTAACCAGCTCCTTTGTAACAAATCACAACTGGCTAATAGTGTAAAGCAGAGGTTCTTAAACTGGGGTCTGTGAGTTGTAGCTTGGGGGATCTGCAAAAAAATTACAGTAAATTATTAGTTATGTCATATCATTTTTTAAGTACATAAATACTTATGGGGACCAGTATGCCAGTAAAAAAACATACTTAACCAAACAAAAAAATATTATTCCCATGCATTTGGAGGTAAAAAAATGGTAGTAATATCTTTTTTAATCAGCATGAGGTTTTTGAAGGACTCCCTAGAATTTTTCTCCCCTGTACGGGGTCTGCAGACCCAAACGGTCTGAGAACCCCTGGTGTAAAGAACATCCCATTGTGACTGTCAGTGGAACATTGATTAAAGAACTCGCACGGATCTTTCACTATAAATACTGGATTTTGGCGAAAAGCTTTTAAAAGCATAAAGTCGTTCTATAGAGAAATTGTACTGAGCAACTTAGTCAAATAATGCATTCAAATTTCAGGAAAAGTGGGCCAACGATTGCTTCCAGGTTACTGGAGTTGATGTTACGAACTTGACATTTTTCTCCACCAGAACTCCACCTTTCAGTCCAGTTTAACAGTGTGGATACAAGAAGGTATGCCATGCATGCACTACAATTTGACATCTACAGCTGTACTCCTGATGCAGGCATGCATGCAAATGGTTCACTGCCACACATAGGAATGTCTACTGGAGTGATGGAACGAGCAAGTGAACAGAAAATATTTTAATACAGACTTCTATAGATCCAAAACAAGCAGTTTCTAAGAGTCAATAAGTTTTATGTTTACAGTGACTTATTATTATCAGTTCTTATTGAAAATTATCAAAAAAATATGTCCATTACATCTTAGAAAGGCTGACTACTCGTCCTGTTAAAAATACAGTATGTGAGAAATAAATAGAAAAAAATCATTTTTTTTCAAATGTGCAAAACAACTTAGTGTAAATAACAGCATTAAAAATTATACATAAACGTTTAGTTTTGTTTTTCAGTAAACACTGATTATATTTATTATAAATTTGATATATTAAAAAAGACAGTTTTGAATTTATAATGTGACGTTCTGTGGAAAGGTCATGAGCACTTAATATCTAAACTGGTGTAGATAGAATTTGAATAACCTCAGTTTTGAAGAAATAGTTTAACTCTAATCAGATTGATTAGCTAACAGCTACACTGAGCAGAGAGCCAAGACGAGTAGATTGCAAGTCTTACAACTCGAATTTCTACATTTTCACAAAAGGGTCATATGAACAACATTTTAAAAACTTTTAACCTGCCAACAGTTTTACATTATATTCTTATCCCAGCAGAAACATTCAAATATTCCTGCAGGAAGTGGCCCAGGCTGCACCTAAAATCATAGCTTATTAGTCATGTAAACATGATTGTTAAATCCAGTTGTTGGCTGGGTTTTTTTCCCCAGTTTTTTCAGTTAGTTTTTTCTGGTTTTTTTTTTTCAGTTTTTCTGTCTAAACTGAAGCCCATACTGTCCAAAAGTAACCTTGAGAGGCTTGATTACTGCAATGCACTTCTTTTTGGAATCAGTCAGATCTCCATTGCACAATTACAACTGGTTCAAAATGCTGCAGCCTGATTCTTAACTGGTACAGACAAGAGAGCACATTACTCCAGTTCTGGCCTCCCTGCACTGGCTCCTGGTTCACTTTCAAATTCATTTAAAAATCTCTGAAAAGTTCTGCCCCCTCCTATCTCGCTGATCTGCTGCATTCATGTCCCACAGTGCTCTCTGAGGTCAGCAGACCAGATGCTTTTACTGGTTCTAGACACTCGTTTTAAGCTCAGAGGTGACAGGGCCTTCTCTGTTGCAGGTCCAAAACTGTGGAATGACTTACCACTACATGTCAGGCAGGCTCCCTCTCTCACTGTTTTTAAGTTTTGTTTAAAAAAATACATGTTTATTCCCAGGATTTTGACACTTTGTGAGTTGATTTTAACTTGTCTGTATTCTATAATGTTAGTCATTTAGTTCTTATCTTTACCTTTTTGGATCTAGTATTTTATCCTGTGTCCTTTACTTGTTTTGTTTTTGCTGTCCTGTTTTGCTGTACAGTACTTTGGTTGGCCTTGTTGCTGTCGTTAAGTGCTTTATATATAAAGTGGTATGATATGGTATAGCTGCAGCAAATAACAAAGTTATATGTATATAACTGTGTAATGCAAGGCAGACTGTAATGTAAAGGTTTATAAAATAGCAATGGTATGACATGAACAGCTATGAAAGTTTACAGGCTAAAGCTGTTTTACAAGAGCAGACATTTTCTTTGGTCTTAGCTAAGCTCAGAGTAGCTACTAGCCCATTAATCAAGTTAATTAAAACTCGTTTTTCTCTAAACTGAGGTCATTCAAAGAGGCATCTACAACAGTACAATAGTAACTGTTGATAACCCTTCCACATAACCCCACATCAAAAAATCTGAACTATTGCTTCAAGTGCCAGATTTTGGGTCAGAACGTTCTGAACCAGTCTCCTAAAAATGTGAAAGGCTGCAGAGTGAATAGTGATAAAGAGATTTTAGAAACAATGATATGACTGCTGGATATGGGCACCAATGACCCCGGCGACCAGGAAAGGAACAAGCGGGTAAAGATAATGGATGGATGATATATTATTAGATGGGAGAAAAATACACTAAAATAAAAGGAAATATGAAATATAAAAAAAAACAGAAAGCAGAGAAGTCATATATGCTTTAGCAGTGCTAAGACTGAGCCCAAACTAATTGGAAAAAAAAAAAAAGAAGAATGGGAAAGATGAAGAGAATACAGTTAAAAGAGGACCGAGCGATAACAGAAGAAATATGAGACTGTAGGGGAGAACATTGTTCGGAGTACAGGCTTCCCTGGATGCTCGGCTTTGACAGCCAGTGACATCACCACATGGGAAAAAGGTCCCCTGAAACCACAATTAAAACTTGCCTCCATGTGTCAGTCTCTCTTGTCCTCCATGGCGTGGGAGACATCTATTAAAAGTATGTGCAGCCCTTTGGGGCTTAAAACACACCACTGCAACCACTGAGAGGATAAAAAAGACGAGCCTAGAACAGTACAGACTAGAATGTTTTAACGGAGGGAAGACTAAATTAATATCTGCAGTGTAAATATATTCACCTGTTTATCTCACTCTGTATTTTGCCTAGGAGACCTATTGGTGCTAGAGTGTTACTTTGTACCAGCAAGTTATTTCTTCTTCAATCTGTGTCAGAGCACAGGGGAGGAATCGGCAGATGAGCAGAGATGATAAGTGGTAGAAAAAAAAAAAGAGAAAAACTCAAAAGACATCTGTTCATAAATTGAATTTAGACAAAAGGAGGTAGTAAAAAATGTCTGACTGACAAAAATGATCAACATTTCATTACATTTTTCTTAGCAATTAGGCTGATTAAACTTTCACCTGCTAGTTTAGCTCAAGCTGACTAAATCAACCAAGTTTTTTATGTTCTGTGAAAAATATGACTCTCTAAAGATAAACTCAATCTCAAAATGAGTTCATCTGGGAATGTTGCATAAGTGAATGTCTTCTAGCAAGAACAGATTATAGGTGGTAGAATATCTGTTTTGTTGTGTTCATAATACAACGTTAGGCACTAATTTATAAGAAAAAATGAAAGCTGTAAATCAAAAGACAGAGAAATATTATCAGAGGATGGTAGCATGCGTGTAACCATGCTTGTGTGTCTACGGAGATGATAATGTGCTGCTAAGAGAGCAGTATGTTTAGCATCAGCAGGTGGGTCAAAGACATCAACACAAAGATTGACTGATGAAGCATGTCATCAACTCCCATTGTCCAAAACTGAAGCTAAATGGTCAATGTTTTTGGTCCTATGTCTAATTAATTTTATGTTGATGGTCACAGCTCACAATTATTGAGCTAAAACATAAACTTCTGCATCTTTAACATCAGAAAGCAACATTTTAAATGTTTTGCAAGTAAAAAATATTAACCTTAATATATTAACCTCTCCAAATGTATATGTAGTTAGTTGATATTAGTGAAAAACTGAGAAGTGTGTTTGCTTCATACTGGTAGCTAATTGCAGCAGATTAATCAAAAAATGTAGAGAAATCCAGCTACAACAGCAAGCTGCCTGAAGTAACTTGCTATCAGAATCGCACTGCTAACAGGACCACGCTGCTAACAGGACCATGCTGCTAAGAAAACATCATTGCCAACAGTACCATGTGGATAACAGGACCATGTTGCTAACAGGACCATGCTGCTAAGAGAACATCATTGCTAACAGTACCATGCTGATAACAGGATCACACTGATAACAAAACCTCACTGCTAAGAGAACATAATTGCTAACAGTACCATGCTGATAACAGGACCACACTGATAAAACCTCACTGCTAAGAGAACATACTTGCTAACAGTACCATGCTGCTAACAGGACCACACTGCTAACAAAACCACACTGCTAACAGAAACATGCTGCTAACAGGACCAAGCTACTAACCGGACCATGCTGCTAAAAGAAACTCACTGCTAACAGTACCATGCTACTAACAGGACCACGTTGCTAATAGTACCACATTACTAACAGGACCATGCTGCTAAGAGAACCTCACTGCTAACAGTAGCATGCTGCTAACAGGACCATAATTCTAAGAGCACCTCACTGCTAACAATACTGTGCTGCTAAGAGAACCTCACTTCTAACAGTAACATGCTGTTAACAGGACCATGTTGCTAAGATTACCTCACTGCTGCTAACAGTACCATGCCGCTAAGAGAACGTCACTGCTAACAGTATCATGTTGCTAACAGTACCACACTGCTAATAGAACCACACTGCTAACAGTAACATGCTGCTAACAGGACCATGTTGCTAAGAGAACCTCACAGCTAACAGTAACATGCTGCTAAGATAACCTCACTGCTAACAGTACTATGCTGCTAACAGAACCACACTGCTAACAATAACATACTGCTAACAGAACCATACTGCTAAGAGAACCTCACTGCTAACAGTACCATGTTGTTAGCAGTGCCATGCTGCTAAGAGAACCTCACTGCTAACAGTACCACACTGCTAACAGTGCATTGCTGCTAACAGAACCACACCGCTAACAATAACATACTGCTAACAGGACCATGCTGCTAAGAGAACCACACTGCTAACAGTAACATGCTGCTAACAGGACCATGCTGCTAAGAGAACTGACTGCTAACAGGACCATGCTGTTAAGAGAACTGACTGCTAACAGGACCATGCTGCTAAGAGAACTGACTGCTAACAGGACCATTCTGCTACGGGTAATAGAACCATGCTGTTAACAGTAACAGTGTTTATATAACACTATTTTTATTTTAATTGATTTTTATTGTTGTATAGTTTTGCCTGTACTCCATGTAGTCTGTCTAAAACAAGTCCCTTGAAAACAAGTCCTCGTGACTCAGTGAGGCTAATCTGTATAAATGAAGGTTGAATAAAAACAAAAAGATCTGTACCCATTTTGATAGCTTGTTGCGTGAGTGAGCAAGCTTGTCAGGCTGCTGTTTAATACACTGTATTATATTGCATTATTATTGTTTAGCATATATCTTAGATCCTTATATACCGTTTCTTTTTATACAGTGGATACTTGTATTTTTGCTATTTTTGGGTATAACTGGGATCTTGAGTACACAATTTCATTCCACCTCATGTACCACATGTGATGCGAATGACCTTGAACCTTGTAAGATTGGCCAAGTAGGCCAGCTTCAGAAATCAGTCTGTTTTTGTCTTGTGCCAGATGAAAAACAAACGCAAACATTTTTAATAAATAAAAACACAGCTATAAAAAAAAAATCTGTGACGAAAAAACAGAATAGTCAGTAAAGTGTATGCCAAATTTAAAAAAATGGTTAGCTGTTGAAAAACAGAAACAAATCACAGTTTTGCTACTGGCTATTTAACGCCAAAACAAATGGGTCAGATTTAATCTATTTGCATAATAACTTGTGCTTTTTCAAGTCCCATACAGTCTTTTAGGCGCTTAGCATATTTATGCTCCTGTGAAGGACCTGCTGCATATCAAAGTGTAATACTCAACTTAAGTGGTTTTTAATGAAGCTATGCTGCATTAACTTGCTGTGGATTTTATACATCAACAGGTGAGCAGGCTAGCTTATCACAAAACACCCAAATGATTATCTAAAGATCCACAGGACGGGGCAACATGGGGGACAGGGGCTGCGGGGGCTCTGGTTACTTGTGTCGATGACTCAGCAACACCCTGGGGGCCCCCGAACTCAAAAACAATGGGCCCCTGTGTGCAAGAACCATTGACCCAACCTGTCCCTTGTCGCCCCTCCCCACTCACTCTATCTCTCCCTGCAGTTCTCTTTTTGTTGGTTTGTTCTCTCACTAACCGACTGATAGCGAGGAATGTTAATTAAAGGCCACGAGAACCAGAAACAAGAAAATAAAGAGCTCACGGGGACACATGGGGGGAGCGATAGCAAGCAAACAATGATGTGCGTCACTTTGAAGTGGAGATGTTTAGATGAGATGTGTGACCAAGTGACCAGGGATTTAATAATGAAACAAAATGAGGGTTTTCCAAGAAATGAGCTGTGAGGTAAACAGTTTCATACAACTGGGGAAAGTTAGGATTACCTCTTGACTTAAAATACTTTGTTCCTTTGTGTTTATACTATGGTTCAAATAAAGAATGCTGTGTGTGGCTTCTGTGTTTGGGCTTTTCATATATGATAGTGACTGAATATCAAAAACAAGAAACAGCAGACTGCTAAAAAATAAGGTTTTGGTAAATACTTTAAATCGTTAAAAAAAAGTTTACTTATAAGCTAAGCCCATTGTACATCTATAGCTTCTGCGGTGTACAAAACACACAAAACAGCAGGTGTGTATCAGGTAGCAAACAATGAGTCAGACTGTACCTTCCAGTTGGCCAGTTCCTGGAACTCGATAATCTTAATGAAACCTCCCATTAGAATCCCTGGAAAAAGTGCAAAGAAAAGATAAATAACACAACTAAATAAATATTTTACTAAGTGTCTCTGTGAAAATGTCAATGCAAACACATACATAAAAATTGTAAATGGTTAGAATAGGTAACAACAAAGAAAACAAAAGAGACCACAAGCAACCATCTAGTAACATGTTTCAGAAATGTATTTAAATGTAATAAAACAATACCTCAAATGTTGCAACAAGAACATTTTTATCTTGAAAATTCTCTTTTTTGGCCTTCAGCCTTCTTGTCTAGACCCTTGTGGCACATAAATTAAAAAAAGAAAAAACGCAGCGTGAAAGGAGGAGAAAAGGGAAACAAAGACAGCAAAAGAAGTTCCGTCTAAGCCTTGAAGCCTTGTACGAGATGCACAGATATTGTAAGATAGAAAGGGATAGTGCAGACAAAAACACACAATGAGTAGAGGGAAGAAAGAGGAAGGGATGAGGAAGGAAAAGCAAGTCTTCCTGATTTGATAACATAGTGTTATCTCTCCACGGCAGAATCCCCCTTCCTCCAAATGTTGATAAAAGCTCTGTCTCATATGAAACATGCAGGCTGCACAAGAGGGGAAAGGCCTTGAGAGAAAAGATGGATGAGCCTCAGAGTTATAGTGACTGTGCCTGCACAAATATGTGAAAGGGGGCTGCAAGGGCTGGAATGAGAGGAAGGAGAATCACATGGGATCAAATATTCAACCACCCCCGCACACAATCCCCATCTTGTCTTTGCCTGTTCTGCCAGTTTCCTTTCCATGTTCCAGTCATTTCTTTACATGCATTTTGAATAGAAGCTGCTAAATCTCATAGTTGGCAAAATCACTGCCAAAAAAAAAAAGAAAAAAAACCTCTGTGGGAGTTCATGACCTAATGTCTTCAGCTTAACATGTTCATATCTTTAAATGAATGCACACTGTGTGTATCAGTGTACATCAGAGAAACTATTGATAAAGTAGACCATTCTTTGCATTCTTCTTCTTATCTCAGGGACCAGAATGGCATCCAGGTTTACTGTCCTCCAAAAGCTCGGATCATTTTTTGTTAACATCCGAGCAGTCTCTATCATATTGGATCCTACATAATTCACACTGTTTATGCTTCTTTTTGGGTTTATCTTCTGCAAACACATCATATTTCATTTGCAATGCAAGAAATACTCTGATCTCTGTGCCCTTGAAGCCAGAGAAGTTCAAAACTGTCACAGATTAAAAAAAAAAAACCACCCCGAAGTGGTTATTTTAGGTCTTCCAAACACCTCAATAATATTAGTAAGACACAGGGGCCAGCTTTTCTTAATTTTTTTTTAACAAGAGTTGAGCTAATAGCAAGAATGTTGCTGTCATTTTTGACTTTGATCTAAATGTAACAGATCACTGAAAAGAAAAATGTTTCTTTTTCCCTGCCGAATATATTTATACACTAATATGAACTATTTAAGATATACAGTAAAAGCATTTAACACATCTTGGGACACAACTAGTCAGTTTTAGCCCTCACAAATAAAATGATTGTAGCTATTTAATATACAACAAGTTAAAAAAATGGACATAGTGTAGGCCTCAGAAAAGGCCCTATGTGGATTAAATGCTAAAGTTGATGTTGGAAGATGCATTATTTCAACATAGGGAGGATGAAGGGGAAAAATATACAGAATTAAAAAAAAAACAGGTAAAACAAATAGTTATTTTGAAAAACAAGTTACCATTTTAACATTTATGATTACTTTTTCGCAAAACAGATTTTTGTCCATCGTGACTTGTGCCATTTTTATAGCAGGGTGTCACAGAGAACGTGGGAAAAATTGAGCTCTGTGTTCTTTGATAACTGGGCTGTTGTCTGATGTACTCCTGTTCTATTTAAACATGGAGCAGTTAAACAAGATATCAATCATGAGATGCATTTGTTATATTTTGATAAAACAGGAGATGCATGACTCATCGTTATTCCAAAACACACTGAGGGTTAAATTATTGTAACTCAGCAGTCAATCTCTGCTGTTCAGTCCACAGCTCATAAAGAATTCTGCAGACAGACACCTGACTGATACCAAAACAAGAGAGGGGAGTATTCCTGTGCTATTTTCTATATAAAAGCATTGATTATCAAATACATTTAAAAACTAGTTAAAAGTTTACACAGGTTGGTACATGAGTTTATTACTAAACTGCTTTCCCTAACTCCAGACCTCATTAGAACTGTTCACAGCAGCTTGGAGCTGTTAAATGGTTGATGATAGCTAGTAAGGTGAAAGATGCAGCAGCATCTCCAAAGCTATAAGTAGATGTGCTCAAACACAGTCTAAAATCATTTTTCTCTCCGTAACTTTTGCCTGAATTTAAAAAAAAAAACAACTCCAATTTATTGAGTATTTGCTGATTTTTGTTGAAGGAACTACTTTACCATGAGTTTTGTTTCTCACTTTCTGGTTCTGCCTGAAAGGGGTGTGTGTAAATCTGATGTTCTACAACCGTTTGCACCTTGAACAAAATCCTGAAATGCTCTCGAGTGTAGAAGCACTGTATAGCCCAGGTTTATTTTTGCACAGAGCAGCACATCACATGAGGACTCACCAAGAGACACTACAGCCACACTCTCAGGAAGAAAATGCAGCTTGAACTTGATAAGCAGGTGCACCAATATGATGCAGATACCTGGGGGAGCAAAGAGAGAAGAGTCAAATGAATGAACGCTGAGGTCAAAACCATTTGTGTTCAGAAAAAATGTCATTCTGGCTCAGAGTAGGTCTTAAATTACCTTCCTTAATAAAGTTTTTTTTTTTCTTTTTGCTGTTTCACCAACAAATTGACAGAAAAATTTATAAATAAACAATATGTTTCTAATAAAATGTGATTTGCTAAATACACGTTAGTTTAAATCAAACTGTGCAAAAAAAAGTAATTTACTTGTATAAGTGGCTACAAAGCAGCTGTCTGACAGCACAATGAGAATTTCCAAAAACTACAAATGTATCTATAACTTTCTGTGTGAAAATAAAGATCATAAATATCATGAGATAAATGCATTATAGGTTATATATATATATAAAATTACATATTATATACATCTTATTTTTCCTCACTCGCTCTCATGCAAGACGGATGCCCTTCTTCGCTCTCCTGTCCTCCTCCTGCATTATTGCTCTTTGTCTTGTTTATCGGTGCTCCTATTTACACATCTTCCAAAACATAAACTACTGTCATGGATCTGGTCAGCTGGACTTTCAACGCAATCGATAACATTTTTTCAACAAACGACAGGGTCCTGGAGAGCCCTCATGCCCCGCTAAGACACATGTGACAGGGTACATCATAGATCCGTGGGGGGGTTGGAAGCTGATATGTCTTTCCGTATTGTCTCAGGAGGACGCTGATGATGTTTATATCATTGGAATTATGATAGCAGGATTTCTGCTTTTTGGCACCGGCGGATATCTATGTTATCGGCTATTAAAGAAGACGGCGGCAGCAGTTTTGACCATGGCAAAGCTGCCGAACCTGTGTGAAGGTTTGGTTCATGCTTGAGCACTCAAAATCAACAGATTTATGAGTTAAATCGTAAGATGGACGCGATTTGTGAGAATCGCAGGACACTTGTGGCTTCTTGGACTCACCAGCATGTTGGGGACGACCTTGGAGGGAGCTAATAAGCACGGACCAGTGGAATGTCCACAAATCTGGCCATTTTGAATTGAAAGTACCAGCAGGACTAAAGGCTGACGATAAACAACAGTCTGCCTGAAAAAAAATCAACTGTGGCTTATCCGAATCCGACTCCCCTGTTTGGCCTTGAAGCAGGCGACTTAACAAATTTCTCCTGGGATATGTGTAAAGAAGGCTCTCTCTATTGCAACCCAACCCCCCACCCCGAGAACTTCTGTGAACGCTTATCAGAACTGTGCTGGCGGACACCAACATCTTAACAGGACTACAGACTATCTGGAAGTACTTCATGGACAAATCTCAGTCTTGTCGTCAAATGCATATGTAATGTGTCTATAAATGTGCTTGCTGGTACAGTTTCTTTGATGTCTTAAATTGTGTCTTGATAAGGACAAGGTGTGAAGAAATATTTTTTGTAATACCGCTATCACTAATACTATACCACTAATAGCCACTATGGGAGGCTGTGGCCGAGTGGTTAAAGCAGTCATCCTCCAATGAAAGAGTTGGGGGTTCGAATATACCAGCAGTCACATGCCCAAGTGTCCCTGGGCAAGACACAAAACCCCTCATCGCCTCCGATGTGTGTCCCATTGGTGTAGGAATGTGATAAAGCTCCGATTAGACTCTTTAGAATGATTTGCTCAATTAGCTTTGTAGAGATCTAGTAGAGTGCTGTATGAATGGGTAAATGAGGGCAGAGATTGTGTTGTAAAGAGCTTTGAGTGTCTTGATATGCTAGAAAGGCACTAAATAAGTACAGCCCATTTACTATCCTTTCTTCATGGCCTTTTCCCCTTTTGTATCTAAAAGAATAAGGGGCCGCGCTGCAGACACATGCACTCCGCCCATCTTTCGGACGACTGTACGAACATAATCTCACTGAATTTTGGTACAATGATAATTCTGATTCAAAGCAGAAGTGCAATATAAAGAACCGTTCTTATGAGACCGATGTTAAACTGAGGTTGACTAAAGGCATGTTCAAGGAAATGACACTTCAGGTCAGTGTGAATAACAGGAAGTGGTACTTGGGCCTAATGTGTGGTTTCTAGAATGCACTTTAAAAAGGTTTCTCATGCACTGACAAAATGTAACCACTGTCAGCAGATGCTTTAAAATACAAAACCACTCCTTCTGTATGCAGGCCATTTGACCTTTTAATGTCTAAAGAGAAACTTCATGAGTGTAAAACTATAACATTTATTTTACAAATTACACATCTTTGAATCATCATTGACAAACTTTAAGTGATAAATCAATGAAGTGGCTGGATATCTGTCCTCCTTAGGTTGGAGTAGTGTAAGATGGACGTTAAGCTCACTAAATGAAGAATAATAATAAGCATATATTTTTTGTGCAATTATTTACATCTTTCATCCTGTCCATGAGTCTCTGGAAGACACAAGTCTTGTGAAACTTGAGAAACTTTTTTTTTCCAGGAACATTGTCTTTTTGAAGGTTTTATCCTCCACTGCAGGCCCAGGAGACAAACAGAGCTTAAGGGGACAAATTACATTCTTGAAAACAGCAGGGAGGCCAGTCCTTTTGAGACTGAACTAAATCTCTGGGTGGGACTTTGCAGTGGGGCAGCACGGTGGCACAACTGGTAGAGCTGCTGACTCTCAGCGAGCAGGTCCCTGGTTTAAATCACAGTCCGGGGGCCTTTCTGGGTGGAGTTTGCATGTTCTCTCTGTGCATGTGTGGGTTTTCTCCGGGTACTCTGGTTTCCTCCCACAGACCAAAAACATGCATGTTAGACTGATTGGTAACTCTAAATTATCCCTAGGTGTGAATGAGAGAGTGAATGTGTGTCTGTTTGAATGTTTGAAAGTTTGTCTCTATGTGGCCCTGTGATGGACTGGAGACTTGTCCAGGGTGTACCCCGCCCCTCGCACAGTTACTGCTGGACATGGGCACCGGCGACCCCCGTGACCCAAAATGGAAGAAGCGGGTAAAAGATAATGGATGGATGGGACTTTGCAGTGGTCATAGTTGATTACTACTGTAAATATTTCAGTTCAATTAAATTTATTTATATAGCACCAAGTCAAAACAGAAGTCATCTCAGGGCACTGAACAGAAACATATATATATATATATATATATATATATATATATATATATATATATA